GTTGCTTCCAATTTGAAAAAAGAAGGTTATTATTGCAACCATACACAGCACACCTAGTACTCAGCATTTTGTTCTTCACCTAACATAAAAATATAGCTTTAAATATTTAATGACTTATATTTAAATCATCTTACCTTATAAAAACTTAGTCAAATAAAACAATTACAGAAATATTAAAATAAATCACTTCGTTAATCACAAAATTGGACGAATATTAAAAGCGAAAACTAAACACGTGCACACCCTGCTCTATGTAAACAGAGAGGTCAGGTCTCTACATGACGTCACTAACTTGCCATTCCTGGCTAACATTGTAGAATAGGGATCTGGCTATCCGTGTAGTATATTGTCCTTGAACTCTTGTAGTTAGAATATTTTATATTAAATACAGCGGACAGAGCTGTTTTTTGCTTATTCGTTACTATAGTCCGTGCGGCGAAAGAGTAGACACCGGTCGGTCCCAGTTGGATGAAAGAAGACCCGTGGGAATTGACGCGTGGATCTCGTCTTTTTTGGCATTTTTTTGTATATTTCTAAAACGTTCTTACACCATCTTTATCACAAAAAATTTGTAAAAAAATAAAACAAAAATATATTACTTTAAATTCTGTTATTCGCGCGCCTTCTTAGGTCCTTTCCTGCCACGTCCTACTCGGGCCGACTCCCGTGCCGATTATAGTTTAGGAATACCGATAGTCCTATGTGAGACGTATACCTACGTATTTCTGATTCGTTACGAGACGAGTGTACAGCAACGGCTTTTAACCTAACAAAAGTCTCGAACCTCCAGATGTGACGAGCTTCCGCGACTCTGCTGGAGAAAAATCTTTTTTTCTCTAATTGAACCTTTAAATAATTTCTTCCGTATTATTTTTTGAGATAACTTCGGAATAAAAATATACGGTCCCGTTGGAAATATTGCTCGGCTTGTGCCGGTTGGAAATTTTTTAATCGTTTAAATGGAAACGACTAATTTTTCGACTTCCGATCCAAATGAGTTGTTGCAAATAAGTGGAAACAATGTTCTTTTCGCTAATGCAATTACAGTAAGAAAACTAAGCCTTATTTAGAAAACAATATTTTATTCAATCACAGATACGGCGCTAGTAGTTGTAGAGTGCTACAATGTTATAGATATTCTGTAAAATATAAATAGATGTACAACAACGTTATGCAATGAGAAACTGTTAATTAATTAATATTGAATTTACAAATCATTTTTTAAAATATTTGAAATTTTGAGATTACATTTATTTATGAAATCCATTTATGGAGACAAGCTTTCTTCATAGAAGAAATTACATTTAGATATTATGTATCCAGAATATTTTGTAATCGTCGTCTTTTAGATAATAGTTCGAGCGCAAACTTATTTCAAACTACTGTAATGCTTGTAAACTCAAAAATAATACTAAGGCACACTTTCATTTCATTTCAATCCCATATTCCTGGTCACCTGTAATTAAATTTATAAATACAATTATATAATATGACTAATGAAATAATAATTCGATAGACTTTGATGAATGATTACTAACTATAAATTTAATTATCTATAAGTAGTAGCATTATCTATTTATTGTGCGAAGAGTTAGTCGATTAAATCCTTTTTGAGGATTACGGACCTTATAATTATCGTGACGAGAAATAATAATAATTATGGTGTTATGTAATATCGCAATTACTGTATTTCTTGTCGCGATAAATACGGTATTACGTAATATGTAACAGTCGACCCCCTATAACGCGGGTTCATATAGTTCGGATTCCTATATGACGGCGAAAAAATTGCGACAGTGTTCGTACAAACACGCTAAAAAAACTCGTATAATTCGGTAAAACGTCATCGCCGACTCGTGTCGCGACGGTTTGTACAATATCCGCTATTGGTCTAGATTCGACCAATAGCGGATATTGTACAAACCGTCGAGTTTAAACGAGCGGCGGACCTACTAAAAACCATTTATTATTTAACGTCCATAAAAATTATATTAATGATGTCTCCAAAGTTCAGCAAATTTTTCGTAAAAAAAAAAAATTATCGGGAAGCACGCGAGCGCCATTCGATGACAAGCTCCACGACGAAAACGAGCTTAAGCAATGGCGTCGTCGAACGGTGCGCGCTCGGTAAGTAATCCTACAATTTTTTTCTTTATAGCATAATTTATACGGATTATTCCCAAAAAATTATACATGTTTTGGAAATGTTGAGCCGAATTAGTCTAGAATCGGTTAATTTTATGGAAGAAAACCTTTCGAACAGCCGTAGTCCCTAAACTGCACACGTGCCGGGCTGTGATTGGCTCGTGTATTTAAGGACTCTTGGAACATGAAAGGCNTTAAAATAAATCACTTCGTTAATCACAAAATTGGACGAATATTAAAAGCGAAAACTAAACACGTGCACACCCTGCTCTATGTAAACAGAGAGGTCAGGTCTCTACATGACGTCACTAACTTGCCATTCCTGGCTAACATTGTAGAATAGGGATCTGGCTATCCGTGTAGTATATTGTCCTTGAACTCTTGTAGTTAGAATATTTTATATTAAATACAGCGGACAGAGCTGTTTTTTGCTTATTCGTTACTATAGTCCGTGCGGCGAAAGAGTAGACACCGGTCGGTCCCAGTTGGATGAAAGAAGACCCGTGGGAATTGACGCGTGGATCTCGTCTTTTTTGGCATTTTTTTGTATATTTCTAAAACGTTCTTACACCATCTTTATCACAAAAAATTTGTAAAAAAATAAAACAAAAATATATTACTTTAAATTCTGTTATTCGCGCGCCTTCTTAGGTCCTTTCCTGCCACGTCCTACTCGGGCCGACTCCCGTGCCGATTATAGTTTAGGAATACCGATAGTCCTATGTGAGACGTATACCTACGTATTTCTGATTCGTTACGAGACGAGTGTACAGCAACGGCTTTTAACCTAACAAAAGTCTCGAACCTCCAGATGTGACGAGCTTCCGCGACTCTGCTGGAGAAAAATCTTTTTTTCTCTAATTGAACCTTTAAATAATTTCTTCCGTATTATTTTTTGAGATAACTTCGGAATAAAAATATACGGTCCCGTTGGAAATATTGCTCGGCTTGTGCCGGTTGGAAATTTTTTAATCGTTTAAATGGAAACGACTAATTTTTCGACTTCCGATCCAAATGAGTTGTTGCAAATAAGTGGAAACAATGTTCTTTTCGCTAATGCAATTACAGTAAGAAAACTAAGCCTTATTTAGAAAACAATATTTTATTCAATCACAGATACGGCGCTAGTAGTTGTAGAGTGCTACAATGTTATAGATATTCTGTAAAATATAAATAGATGTACAACAACGTTATGCAATGAGAAACTGTTAATTAATTAATATTGAATTTACAAATCATTTTTTAAAATATTTGAAATTTTGAGATTACATTTATTTATGAAATCCATTTATGGAGACAAGCTTTCTTCATAGAAGAAATTACATTTAGATATTATGTATCCAGAATATTTTGTAATCGTCGTCTTTTAGATAATAGTTCGAGCGCAAACTTATTTCAAACTACTGTAATGCTTGTAAACTCAAAAATAATACTAAGGCACACTTTCATTTCATTTCAATCCCATATTCCTGGTCACCTGTAATTAAATTTATAAATACAATTATATAATATGACTAATGAAATAATAATTCGATAGACTTTGATGAATGATTACTAACTATAAATTTAATTATCTATAAGTAGTAGCATTATCTATTTATTGTGCGAAGAGTTAGTCGATTAAATCCTTTTTGAGGATTACGGACCTTATAATTATCGTGACGAGAAATAATAATAATTATGGTGTTATGTAATATCGCAATTACTGTATTTCTTGTCGCGATAAATACGGTATTACGTAATATGTAACAGTCGACCCCCTATAACGCGGGTTCATATAGTTCGGATTCCTATATGACGGCGAAAAAATTGCGACAGTGTTCGTACAAACACGCTAAAAAAACTCGTATAATTCGGTAAAACGTCATCGCCGACTCGTGTCGCGACGGTTTGTACAATATCCGCTATTGGTCTAGATTCGACCAATAGTGGATATTGTACAAACCGTCGAGTTTAAACGAGCGGCGGACCTACTAAAAACCATTTATTATTTAACGTCCATAAAAATTATATTAATGATGTCTCCAAAGTTCAGCAAATTTTTCGTAAAAAAAAAAAATTATCGGGAAGCACGCGAGCGCCATTCGATGACAAGCTCCACGACGAAAACGAGCTTAAGCAATGGCGTCGTCGAACGGTGCGCGCTCGGTAAGTAATCCTACAATTTTTTTCTTTATAGCATAATTTATACGGATTATTCCCAAAAAATTATACATGTTTTGGAAATGTTGAGCCGAATTAGTCTAGAATCGGTTAATTTTATGGAAGAAAACCTTTCGAACAGCCGTAGTCCCTAAACTGCACACGTGCCGGGCTGTGATTGGCTCGTGTATTTAAGGACTCTTGGAACATGAATTTCATAAAAAAACGGAACGTATCTACCGTGTTATAGGGGGGGTCGATTGTATGTCCTTAATGTTTGAAGCTTAACTGACAAAGCTTGATTAGCATTAGGTAAATGCAGTAATGTTATTTTGTGTAGTTCGTATTAAAAGAAATTTAATCTAATGTTGCGAGTTAATTTAATTTCTAATACGCAGCGACGTGGTAGAGGGGTGGCTTATTGCCAAAGGGAACCCTGGATTGAATCTGAATGAGTAAAAAAAAACCTGGAATTTTTCGGAGGTGGTTCGTTCCGGTATGTTGGGCCCCGTCTTGCACCCGTCCCGCTGTGGGCCTAACTGAACCCGTAATACCCTTGCTAAAACAGGCCCTCTTAGTGCCCACAGAGCAGAGAGTTAAAAAATAAATAAATAAAAACATAGTAACATGTAGGTTCTTCACAAATGTGATAAATTTATTTCATAAAACTAAGAAAGTTATTGTGTATTATCTGTTTTACTATAGAAATTTACAAAATATAATAATTTTTCAAAGTTTTATCTTGTAACAGAATTATAAACAGTTGCTTAAATAAAAGTTTACACAACTTGTTACTGGATTAAAAAAAAAAACTTTTGTTTTAAGCAAAATAAATAGAATCATGTGTGGTGTCATCTGTTAAGACTTTTTATATTTTTAAATACTATACAATAACTCAAAATTTAATACAAAATTTATCCTACCCTCAAAACTTAATTTTGAGGGTAGGGATAAATTTTATTAAAAAATGTAAAGGTTAATAATGAATAAAATCTTCATTAATTCTTACTCTCTCGAGATATGACACGACACCCCTTTATCTCCTCACTCTTTCTACCTTTAACCCCCAAAATTTAATAGCATCAATGCCTCTCATCATATACAAGCTACTGTGCCAAATTTCGTTTCTTAATCTTTACCCCGCCCTGAGATATTAAACAAAACAGATGCCAATACATACATGGCAAAAAACTCCATGGATATGTGTTTTTTTTTTTTTTTTACTTTTTTGGATTCAGGAGGTCTCAAAATGTGGAGATTTGCAAAAACCTCAGAGGGTCAAATTTGACATGATACCAATACTTTCCCTCATTATGTATACATAACATCCGGGAAGGTAAAATTTTGTGCATATTATGATTCAAATGCACGGAAAACTGATTTAGACCAGAACATTTATATTTTGCTATTAATAATAATATATATGACAACTTTTAAATTAGCTATTTCACCAAATTCTTTTATTGAATTCTAATATATTCCATATTATAACTGGAAAAGTTGAGTTTGTTATCTATTTAAGGCCATTCTTGTAAGACTAACTAGCTACTTAATAAAAATAACATATTGGTAAAATAGCTCATGGTTAAAAATGATTTTATATTATCAAACATCAATAAAAAGCTATTACTGGTTTTTTCAAGTTTGAAAATAGTAGAGCAGCAATGAAACTTTCTATTGGTTTTTATAGATTACCATTGTATTTTTAACAGGATAGCCTTTAAATTTTGATAATTTCTGATAAAATCAATCAATCAAAAATTTAATATAAATTAAAATTACAAAAATACTGTATAAACATGCTAACAGTAAACAAAAAAACTATCAAATGATATATTTTAATGTGATTTTTTTTAAGGTAATAAAAATTACAAAAATATATACAGATTATTTTAATTTAGATAAATATAGATTTTAATACTTGTTCGTAAATGGTCCAAGCAGTTGCCGACATTAACGACCTGCGAACGATACGAGGAACTATTCCTTTGAAAAATCCAGAAAGTCCGTATTCCTATAATAATAAAATTTTTTATTTATATGGAGGTATAACAAGATATAAATCATTTGGATTATTATTATTATTTTTATTTTTTTTTTAATTAAAGAAACATCTATTCAGATTTAACATCTTCATTTTTTTTCCTAATAACTTCAGAAGTCATTATAAAAATGGAAGATAACAAAACTTTATACTCAATAATTAGAAAGAATTATCACAAGTAGATTTTTTTTGTTTTACAACCAAAACGTGTTTAAAATGAAGTCTGTAAGGACTTTTAAAAGCTTTTCAGATGGAAAAAAAATAAGCTATCTACTTGATGAATGTGATAATTATTTCAATATATCTGTGATTTGATATTTCAAATTATAAAAACTGCTTCACTGTGATACTGTACAAACAACAAAATATTTATATTACAAATCTATATATAACATAATATAAGAAAATAAAAATATATAACAAAATTTATGTATTTTGAAATGTTTTATATATTTTTAGAAACTTACTATTAATAATTAGTTTTTATAAATGAATTTAATTATAATATGTAAATTTTTAAACTCTAAGCAATGAATTACCTGATAAATAAAAATTATTGCTGACTTTAAGCGTCCAAATTTTTTTGGATATAATTGCATTTGTGTTTTGATTACATCTGGAGGTTGAGTAACAAAAGAAGCTAACAATCCTGCTGCAAGTCCACATCCAAAATCAGCTGGAGCTTTACTCGATCCTTCTTTCCAATCTAAAAAAATCCATTGCAATTCTATTTATTACAGTAAATTTTAAAATCTATTTTTTACAAAATCAGACACGGAATGTGTTAACTAGCAATTAGTACAGCCTCTAAAGGAAAGCATTTACAATGAGTTGATTATAAATAATTTTAATATCACAGAATTTTCTTTTTGAAATATTTCAGTTTTTTTTTTTTTAAACAATTAACTTACATTAAAAATAACTGAATACGTAAAGAATATTTTCACATTGTAGAAGTCAAGTTACAAATATTTAATACTTTAAGAAATAATTAAACATTAATACAAACATAACATAAAACAGAAAAATTTACAAAACTATTAGAAGTAAAGCTTTAAAATTGAATAAACAATGGGTTAAATTCAGTTATTTTCTCTACTAAATCTAAATACCGTATACTTCAGACCTGATATAACACAAATTTCTGGATTCAAAATATCAGCCCACGCTGAGTGAATGTGCTTTCTATTCTATACTTTCACAAAAACCTTTGTAACTCCAGTGATACTTGCTTTATACATCAGCGAACGTTTTCAACCCCATCCAGGTCTTCATCAGGCTATGTTTATGAGGAATTTGAATGCGTATGGAACAGAACATTAAAATGAACTTTAAGCGATTCAAAATTTCGAAAAACAAACTTAAGAATAAACACGGAACGTTGCGCACGCGTAACCACTCATTTGCGAAACAGCAAACACAACCAAAAATAGGAAATTCAACAAATCAGTTACGGGGTGGTTTCCCTCATAACAAAACTTCCACGCACCCGATATCCCGACTGCATCCCTGGAATTAATGCACGTGCCGCGTAAACCTGCTTTATATATTTCAAGAGTCTCCACGGCTCTCAGTTGATCCATACAATGAGAGATCCTGATCATACGGGCACTTTGTAAGTCAGCCATGATTCCCGGTTCCGTGGCAACCGTTGATAGGGCGGTGGTGTGTTTTTTATTGTCAATATTGTATTTATGCTCCCGAAGCCGTTTGTGAAGGGAGTGTTTGGTTGATCCCACATAAACCAAATGGTTGTTAAATCTGTCATCCCACATAGGGACGGTATATACCCCCGGTGCGTGTTTCAAGTCAATTGCATCTTTTCCGTTGCGAAGCAAGTTGTAAATAGATTCTAGGCCTACTGTACGCTATCTTAGTCTTGGTGATGGATGAGATTTCCCTGTATATTTTATCCAGATGGTGGTTGTACACTACGATTTTTCTTGCACATTTATTATCCAAAAACTCCCGAAGGGAATTGGTATTGTCCCGTGTGTTTGCCTGCATGTAAGCACGAGCAATGTTATATATTAAGTTTATTATGTTAAGTCTTATTATACCCATGCTGTGTGGCCATTTCCTGAACTTGCCTTAGCTCAGCCATGGTGCCTTCATAGCTAGAATGATGCGTGAAAGCCGTCTTAGTTAATGCCCGAAAAGCCGCAATCTTGTATGAGTACGGATCCTCCGAATTAGCTGGGATGAAGAGAGGTACATAGGACTTTTTGTAATAGACCTTGTATGCTTTCTATTCAACATATTTTGACAAAAATAAAGGCATACCAGAAATTATTCAATACATACAGTAGGTGGGTAATAAATTAATTATTACAAACAATTAATTATACACTCTTTTATACTTCATTTTAATACATATATGATGTCATATAAAAGTAAATAACTTTAATATTAAATGAATAAGTTAATTACAGTGCATGGTAGTAAAAACAATTATTGTTTGACACAAACATTTTATGAAGCTGCTGAAACTACCAAACTGAAAACAATAGCATCTTTAAATATGAATTTTATAATCACTATTATGTATGTTATAAACATCATTATTAATTATTTACTTCTGTGCTTAAGTTATGAGTTATAATTTAGTATGAGTTGTTTTATTCATTAAATGCCAAAACTTTCTTATATTATAATTGGGATAATTAATTGATTTAATAATTAGGAAGCTTTAACCATTGGTAAGCATGTTGTATCTGTTGGAAATTAATGATCAGTATATTTTCGTGTCTTAAAACTTACATGAAGAACAGAATTCAAACTGCAACTTTTTTTTGGTTGAATGTCATTTAGAAGGCCCATGGACTCCAAGTATACTTGACTGACAGAGCAATTAATAGCTACTGTTATGTTTAAATTAACATCTTACCATCAAATTAGATACTATATTATATTAATTATTTACATGATAGAAATAATTCATTGTTTTCCTACTATTTTTATTTTATTGTCTCCTGATAGATTTAACTCAAATTTTTTCAGTTACCAAAAGAAGTTATTATTTAAATATTATCTTAAAAATATTTTTCTTTCACAATAAAATATTCAAGTTATTACCTTTGGGAATTAATGTTTTTGTCTGCGTATAAAACATAAGATATATTCCAGAGAATGGCGCATCACGAAAGAGAGTTGGAATTAAACCACTGAATAAACCTAAAAAAACAAAATTAATTATTTAATAATAGTTATAATACATATAAATTAAATTTTATCTAATGAACTCTCTCTTGATATAACTTAGAAGTATTTTTTACATTTCTATATTGATCAAATAATGCTACTGAATAAATATTAAAAATATCAGCTAATGTTTATCCATTTTTTCAACATATTATATCATAAAAATATAAGAAACTTGACACCAAACTGTTCATTAAACAAAATGCTTGATTTAAATTACCAAAAATTGTTTAATATGAAATATTTTTGGCCTTATTTCAGGCCCCCATCATTGTGTGTGTGTATAAAGTGAATAATAATAATAACAAAACAGGACATTTGCAAAATTAGAATTTTTTTTTAAATTTACAAAATAGAATTAAAAATAGAACACATTTGAATTTTCAAAATGAAAAGTTGCTTAATACAATAAAAATAATGATAAAATAAAACAGGGATGCTAAAAATAACAGATAAGTTGTAGATATACCCAATTAGAATTATAGAAAAAAATAAATAATTAAAAATTAAAGATTTTAATAATAATTTAAAGTTTATTAATTAGCTTGCTACATAAAGAAAATCTGAATGAATGTAATAAGAAAGCCTAGGATGTAAGCATCATATTAATTAATAATATCAAAGTATTTGAAATGTATAGGCATATTTGTTCTAGAAATAAATTCAATATATTGTTAATATATTAAATCTAACATTGATATTGTATAACATCAATAACCAAAATTATTTAAACTCTATAAAAAAGAATGCTGCGCATTTTTCCTTCCAAATCATAATTAAATTTTCTCAAATGACTCATGATTGTAACACACTAAAATGATAACATCAACTAGAGTAGACTCTCCAGTAACCAGAGCTCAAGCAACAGGCAAAAAAAAATCAAATAAATAGTACTATTATAGAAAATTAAAATCAATTTCTAGTAAAAATGTAAGTTTAAACTTGGCACACCATACTGTGAATAAGTGCATGCATTGCACACCAACATTTCTCTCTCAATCCATTTATTGACTGCCATTTAAGTAAAATTGCACACTGCATTTGCAAAGCTAATTTTATAATAAAACTATGTTACATTAAGTTAAGTTTGTCTTCATTTGTCTTAGTTTGCTTTTAATTACTGTATTTCAATAATAATAATAATCTAGTTAATACAAAGTTTATGATACAGTATGGATTAGAGCAGGGGTGGCCAACAGTTTTTGCCACGGGCCAAATTGGAAAGAAAACTTTTTTCACGGGTCAAACCAGAGGCTGCCCTAGGAATTTTGAGGTGGTGCGAGATCTCATTGTGGTGTCACCTTGTAGAGACTAAATTGTAGATAGAGATTACAGATACAGTATAATCAGCATTCTACACTGTGCTGAAGACATTTGCAATGGAGGGTTAACTCTAAACGCACAGTTAGTTGTTGACCTTTTTTTTTTTAGACGTTAGAATTTTTCACCGATCTATTCTGACTTGAGTAGCTAATATTGAAAGATTAATCGCGGGTCACATAAATTCATTAGACGGGCCGTATGTTGGCCATGCCTGGATTAGAGTATTGGTTAGAAATATTTTTAATAGAAAATCCCAAGCAACCAGACACTATTTATCTGTCATCTACCAATCTCCATGGTTCTGGTTAACTGAGTCTACCATATAAAAAAATGGCAAAGGTGTTACACATTTCCTGGATAATTATAGTTGTTGTTATATTTCATTATAATTACAGCAAAGATTCTTTGTTCAAATTATTAGTTTTTATTCATTCTTATGATCAGAAATACAGCATTTTTATTTGTAATCTTTATTTTTTTTTTAACATTTAATGTAATCTTTAAACATTTTTGCTCTATAATGCATTCAATAATCTTAGGATGAATGAAAAAGACATCTTTTACAATGTTATTTGTAAATGAATTTTTTAGATTTCATGAATAAATTATTTACTGCTGCTATTTCTTTTCAGCATTAGAATACTAAGTCCTATTTTCATTTGTAAAATTTGTATTTCGTGAAACATTCATATTCTGTTGTGTGTTATAGCAGAATATCAATGCATTTCTATTTCATATATCAGTGTTGTCTACACATATCTCATATTATTTTATACTATAAAGATGACACAGAATTACTTAGCCAAATCAAAGATGTCAACTTTTTCCAAGCTAATAATTATACAGTTAAGTGAATTAAACACTAAGTAATATATCCTGAAATAGGCACAATGCAATGTCATATGCAAAAGTTTCTATAATTTATTTGCCTGGATAAAATAGTAAATTAGTAACACAATTAATTTAGAATTTTCTTACTGGGGTTAAGAAATCTCATGCTATTTATTAACATTACACATGGTACAATAAATTTAATTATCAGTAATGTTCAAAATACAACTATTTAATTCATAGTTAAACATACAATCTGGCTCATAGATGTTTAGTTTTTAGTAAATTTTGCCTTTGCTTTTTTTATTTTTGCACTGTGATAGTTCTTTGATAAAAAAAATAATCATCATCATCATCATTTTTTTAATTCTTGCTGATTATGAAATGCATTTTAACTATTTATTAATATAATTATATGTGGGAACCCAATTGTATAGCAAAAATATCTAAGGCTGTTGCAAAATGTATTAAATGGCAAAACCAATTGCTTTCACTTTGTAAATTTGTTTTCAATTAGATTTAAAAATAGAAAATAAAGAAGTAAATGCATTACTTTTTGATTATTAAACAAATCTAGGTACAATTTTGAAATGCATGCCCATAATATACCTAAATCATTTAATTGTAATTAAAAATGTAAGAAAATAATGATTAAATAAAAATACTTAATTCACAAACAGAATGCTTAGTTTAGATACAAATTTTATTCTGTAAACCTTATCTTCTGTTATCCAACATTCATTTAATCATACGAAAAGAGCACTCCATATCACAAGCATAGAAATCAAGTTTTGCATCATTTTTAAGTCTACCAATTCTTTCTTCAGAAAGATAATGCCCAATTTCTCATAACTTCAAACAGTCAGCATTTTTTGCCAGAATGCACTGTTTTATTCTTTGACCTTTTGCTTTTTATTAGTTTGTAACCAACTAGTTTCTGATTTGATTCTTCAATCTTTAGTCCTTGGATTTCCAACTTGGAAATGAGCTGTGAAAGCAGAAATTTGAATTAACAAAGGTTAAGTCTGTTGTCAGACAAGTATTTTTGAGACATTTCTATGCTTTTCAGTTGGATTCAACCTCCACGTGGTCAAAAGAGAGCATAACTTACCTTTTCAAAATTTGTTGCATGAAATTTTACCACATCCAACCATATACCTCAACAGATCAGAACAGGATCAGGTGTCAAAGGCAGGTCTGGCAGCATTTCCTTCACACACTATGACATTTGCAGGAAAACTCTTCACAGAACTGATGTACTTATTCACACTGGGACATTGGGATCTAATTTTCTCACACACATGCAGGCTATAAGCTAAGCAAGTCAAGAATATAAGGTTTAAATACAGAAACACAATCCTGTATCAGCTTTTACCATAGCTAGGACTGCATCTGTTAACAGCAGGATGACTATACCATACTGAATTCCACCCACCCATAGGAAGCCTAAGCAATATGCTGAAATAAAAGAAATAAAAGAAATATGGCAAAATATGCCAAAACATACACACTAAAGTCCATTTATAGAATTCCTTCACCCCTTGTTACCTATTACACAACAAAGAATATACACGTTGTGTACAAAGTTTGGATCAGTAAATTTTATATTAAAAAAATATAATTGGAAAATTGCATCTGGTGAATTTATTTTTCTTGTTAATTGTTGCTAATGTTTCTTGTTAATTGCTTATTTACCAAAGGGCATGTATTCAATGGCTAATGTTGAACTAAACAGGACTTAATTCTGTTCTCCAGTATTGAAACATATAGAGATGTTCTTAGTCCACAATTCTGAAATGATGTGAAGTTTGAAAATAAAAACAAAATTAACATCTCAAAAAATATAAATATAAATTACTTAATTGAAGCACTACAGAAAAAAAGAGATAGAAGGAGAATAAAGATTTTTTTGCTAATCAGTCATCTTTAAAGTATCATGAAAGAGAATGGCTGCTTAGTAGAAAAATCTTTGCTCTTTCCTTGATTCTTGGGCTTTTAGTTTAAAATTTTTTCAGTCCTCTTTTTTTTTTTAAATAATAAATTTACAAAAATGTGTATTTTTATCCCTTGTAGCTTGTGTTTGAGCAGTTTTAGCCAAAAGAGGTCATACTGACTGACCTCTTGTTTAAAAAATTCTTCAAAAAGTTCATCATAAAATCGATCCCAATCAGACATATTAGAACATTTTAGAAATCTTAAACCTTTTAATGAATTTATGTTCAGGTACTGTACAGGACTGCCCTAAGAAGACAGGCACTGTACACAGGCACCAGAGGGGACATTGAAAGACATTCCTAATTAAGTCTCTAATTTGAATTATGAAATGATAAAAAATGGAACAAAACATTACATCGAAACAGCTTCAATAATCCAAGTCCTGATGCGTGCATTATGTATTTATATGGATTTATAATATTGCACAATCGAGATGTGTGAAGTGGTCCTGGTGCCAAGTTTCTTGTCAATCAAGGAATAAACTGTTATTAATAATATATAACAACATTTCTTTGAATTTGGATTCTACATACATCACATCCAAACTCAATTCAAAGGAGTTTTGATGGTTATAAAAATATAGGAATTTACAATATATTTGCACTACTTCTTATTCATAATTTGGGTGCAAAATGTAGAACTCGCATGCAAATCAAAGATATTCTATGGCAGTATTGTTCAGATATGTATATATAAGTAAGTTATGTGATGGCTCAAGCCACATTACAATTATAATTATTTTTTACTTTAACAAGAAATTTCTAAATTAGTATTGTTTTATACTTCCGTGTTCTATAGCTTACTTAACAATTACATACTTAGCA